AAAAAAAAAAAAAAAAAAAAAAAAAAAGCTCAAAGTCGCTAATCAGAGATGCAAATTAAAACCACAATGAGGTATCATTTCACACCTACCATCAACAAATCAACTAACTCCAAGTGCTGACGAGGGTGTGGAGAAAAGGGAACCTTAGTATGCTGCTGGTGGGAGTGCAGACTGGTGTAGCCACTATGGAAAGCAATATGGAGTTTCCTCAAAAGATTAAAAATTGACCTGCCATTTGACCCAGTGATCCCACTTCTAGAATATATCCTAAGAAACCCAAAACACCAATCACAAAGAACGTATGCAGCCCTATGTTCATAGCAGTGCAATTTATAATAGCTAAGATCTGGAACAGCTCAAGTGCCCTTCAGTAGATGAGTGGGGGGAAAAGATGTACGACATTCACACCATGGAATACTATGCAGCTGTAAAAAGGGATGATCTTTTATCCTTTGGCACAGCGTGGAGGGAACTAGAAAGTATTAGGCTAAGTGAAATAAGCTATGCAGAAAAAAATAAGTACCACATGATTGCACTTATATGTGGAATATAATAAAACAAAATAAACTGATGAACAAAATGGATCCAGAGACTTAGAAGCATGGAACAGACTGAGGGAAGGTGGGGAGGGGGAAGTGGATGAGGAGAGATTAATCAAAGAACTTATATGATTATAAGCATAACCCATGGGCACAGACACTGGTCTAGGGAAGGCCTGGGGATGGGATGGATGCGGGGTGGAGGGGATCAATGGGGGTAAAAAGGGGACAACTATAATATTTTCAATAATAAAGATAATGAAACTTAAAAAAAAATCAAAATGGCAACAAAGAATGCAAAAAATATATATGTGTGTGTGTGTGTGTGTGCGTGTGTGTGTGTGTGTATAATCCTGTGTGTGTGTGTGTGTATGTATTTAATCCTCACACGAGGATNTGCGTGTGTGTGTGTATAATCCTGTGTGTGTGTGTGTGTATGTATTTAATCCTCACACGAGGATATTTTTTCCACTGCTTTTCAGAGAGAGTGGAAGGGGGGGAGAGAGAGAGAGGGAGAGATAGAAACATCGATGTGAGAGACATCGATTGGTTGCCTCCCAGTTGTTCACCAACTGGGGCTGGGGATTGCGCCTGCAACTGAGGTATGTGCCACAGTAGGTGGGTCCTGAGCTGAGGGGTAATCCTAGATAAAAATTTGGGGTTATGAGGTCCTGTGTCATGATTCTGGTCAGTTCTGCTGAGGTCTTCATTCACATTCCTGAAGTGACAGAAGGCAGAACCAGGAAAAAATGAGGAAGGCTCTGAAGATACAAGCTGCTAAGATAACTGGACAAGCCTAGTGAGAGGAAAGATATGCAGGATTTTGGACAGTGTGGGTGCAGTAAGTGTATTAAAGTGGAGTGGCAAGTCACTTTCTGAGACGCTTACATGGTATTCAAAATGACAAAGCTACACGAGTATATTAGAACTAAATATCATACTAGTGTATGATATTTAATATCCAGTAAATATCATACTGGATCAAACTGCTGTAAGAATTTGGATTCTACAGTAAAGCAAAAGCATCATTAGTTAATTCAGTATTTATTATTCACTAGAAGTCATGTTTTGTCAAAGAATCTAGAGAATCACTGTCATAAATTCTGAAATATTTATAGATGAATTTCTGTAAGTTGTTTCAAATTAATCTAAAGGATAGAGTAAGGGAAAGTGGATGGGAGTCTAGATCAAACAAGAGTTGCCAAGAGCTGATGACTGTTGTAGCTGGGTGATTCATTGCCCTCTCATTTATATATGAGAATTTTTCCATAATGAAATTAAAGAAATATCTGATCTAATAAATTAATGGTTCTCCTTATTTTTACTTTCTTTTATACCTTCTTCTGTCCTGAATTTGTATTTTTAAAAGGCTGATAATTATACTTAATTTGTTTAATCACTGTTATCATTCAAATACATGTACCAGAACTTATAGTCAGTCTCCTAGTGCAGTCTCTCACTCTTACTCATTATTCACTTTATATATCACCTCTAAATGGTTAATTAGCCCCTATTTGAACATTTCCAGTGAAGGATAAAATTATTAAGTTCAAGTCAAGTCCAATTTTAAGTCAAAGCTAATTGCAGGAATGTTTTTCATTATACTAAACTATGCTCTTATCAAAAATACGTCACATGTCTCCCAAGTAGTCATGCTAATTGAAACTTTCAGTGACCCAACCCTGAGTTATCAATTACATCAGTTGACAGGGTTTAAAAATACAATCACTGGTCAACAGATATTGGAACTTATCATTGAAGATTTTAAAATTCACAATGGAAGAGGTAACATATTACAAAGACCATTATATCTCAAATATTGGCTGTAACTCTATGCATTTTTATCCTATGCCCAGCAATCTGAGAGATCTTTAAAAGAAAAAGATAAGTAATAATAAAACAATTATTTCACAGTTTCTTACCTTCAGGCAAACGTACTAAGTGATTTCTTCTTATGTTGAGGTCTCTCAAGGCCTCCAAATTACCAATTTGGGAAGGTATTGTTTGAATTTCATTGCAGCTCACATCCTATTTCAAAAAGAAACAAAGTAAAGAATTATTCTAAAATTCCAAACTTACTTGCTTTAAACTACCTGCAAAATGAGGTTGGACAAGATCCTTGCAGTCCCTCCTAGTTGTAAAAAAGATTATGATTCTGTGTCCAAGGATAATTTCATAGTTTGTATTACATTTAATTATAAAAATGTAGTCTTTTGACTAATTCTATACATTTTATCTATATCTACATTAACATTTTATGAAAATTAAAATGAAATTATTTAAGAAGTAGACATAGAAGATCAGTCCAAATAACTGTGAAAAGGTAAAATAGGGAAAAGTATAAAAACAGCTATTTAGGACAATATTTTATTTTATATTGTTCTAATAAAACTAGAAGAAAAATGATAAAAATTACAACCAAATTATTTGAAAAAATATCCTATTTTCAAGCACTGGCTGGCTAGTTCAGTTGGTTAGAGCATCATCCCGATATGCCAAGGTTGCAGGTTCGATCCCCAGGCAGCGCACATATAAGAAACAACTGATGAAAGCATAAATAAGTGGAACAACAAATCTCTCTCAATCTCCCCCACCAGCTCAAATCAATTAAAAAAAAAAATTCCACATATATGGAAAAAAAATCCTATTTTCAAAATACCAGTTCAACTATTCAAGAATATAAGATAAAAATGCACTGAATATGACTCATATCACTCCTTATCAAAGAGAGGGGAAAATAATAAAGTATACATAACGCAAAAGGATATAGAAAAATAGATACTGCTTTATTAGCACCTGATCGACCTGATTCCAATACATATATTAGGTAGGCCTTCTGGTATCTTAGTAACAGCTTGATTCTCATTCCACTGGTTCTAAAAAGAGATGCCTTTAGGTTTCAATCCTGATGTACCCAGGATTCCATAATTCTGAGACCAACCAGAATAATGGTAAACCCATGTGTAATAGCAGGAAGCTGCCTAGGTTAATAAAAGTGTCAAGATGCCACATTAACACTTAAAATTCCTTCAATATAGGAATAAAAAGAAAATACTCATAGGCCCAGCCAGCGGGGCTCAGTGGCTGAGTGTTAATCTATGAGCCAAGGAGGTCATGTTTCGATTCCCAGTCAGGGCACATGCCGGGGTTTCGGGCTCGATCCCCAGGAAGGGGCATGCAGGAGGCTGCCAATCAATGGCTCTCATCATTGATGTTTCTATCTCTTTCTCCTTCTCCCTTCCTCTCTCTGAAATCATTAAAAACATTAAAAAACAAACAAAAAACAATAGACTTACTATTAGAAAAGACCACTTATCAAAAAATTCAATAAGCTTCAAATATTATTTAAAATTTTTCCCAAAACATTTTTTAAAAAAATAATCCTATTTTTGTTTTTTCTATCAATTAATGACTTAAGTAGAATTAGAAGCTAGACTTCTTAGTCCAATGCTCTAGGCATCAAAGTTAAAAGGGTTCTAAAAGATATGAAAGGGTAGGAAAATTGAGCCTGAGCCAGAGGTAATAGCAATCTATAATATTTCTCTCAGAAAATGTGTATGTTGAAAGACAGCAGTTTACTTTCACTAAGAAATGAATAAGGACGTTGCAGAAAGACCATCAAGTAGGAATCAGAGAGTTAGGATTACTAATTCTTACTCTACCACAAGCTGTTTGCATAACTAAGGATATCAACTCACCTCTTTTGGAGAAAGCTAAAAGCACCTTTTGCGAGACATGTCTATCTTTTAAGTATTTAGGATTCAATAAGTGGAAACAAAGTTTAAATTGTTTGAAAGCCAGGAATTTCAATCATTTGAGTATAATTTACTACAAGTTCATGTTATTAACCCAAGCTCTGAAGAAATGTAAACAAATATACATTTTTGGACTATTTCCTAGATCTAACTTGCTCTAAATAAACAGTGGTCTAGTATCCAGACTCTAGATTTAATATATTTGTGAATTTTTATGTGACTTTTATATGCATAATATACCTGAAAAAGTCAGCTAATATGTGGTCCAATTAGATTTTATGTGTACAGTATTTGTTTTTTATGATATTCATCTTTGTTAATAAACCTACATGGAACTCTACCCCCAAATCTCAATGGGCGTAACTGTATTTGACCATTTCAGAAATATGAAGCATGGGCTTTGCAGTTAAGGTTAGACCGGTTTCCAATTCTACTTCAATTATGGAACCTTGGGCAAATTACTTAACCTGAGTGCTAGTTTCCTCAGCTGTAATATGACAATTACAGTACTCAATTGGTAATGTTACTGTGGTGATTAAAAGAGAAAAGTTTTATTGCCATGCCTGGAATGCAAGTGCTCAAGAGTAACAAGGAGTGGTAGGTGAAGATCAAACTTCTTAAAAATAGAAGTCAATAAAGAATAGCTCACTTTAGAGTGGGAGATAGGTTCTGAAGATAGTATATGGGGGGG